CGAAACCTGCGCATAAATTTTGTGCCAGCATAATGCTCAGGATGGCCGTGCGGCTCTGCTTCGCCAATTTCGCGCGCATGTGCTACGCAAGCCACAGCAGCTTGCGCCGATTACTTTGTCTGACGTTGAGGCTGCTCTTCCCAAAGTTGCCCAAAGGTTGCAGCGTGCACAGGGTGCGGACTTTTGGTCACCACAGAAGTTCCTTGCCTGGGGACAGCGAGACTATCGCAGGTTGGCGCAGTTTTACAATGTGGTCGAAGAGACGGGCATTTGGCCAGATGTGCTCCCACTCTCTGTCCGAAGGGTGCCGCTGGCGACAACCAGACGCGGGACATCTCGATGTCGCCTTTGACACTGCTGCTTTCTGGCTGGCGCTTCACTGGGAGAGCCGAGAGGCCTGCGTGGGTCACGTGGGATTTGCGCAAGGCCTTCCCGTCACTCTCCTGGAAGGTTGTTTCTCAGAGGCCTTGTCGTTGTCCGCGGGCAGCCAGACCCATGTTACACTTCTGGCGCTCTGCAGAACGCCGCTTCAAGTATCCTTGTGGTGTCGTGCCTCAAGCGGGGCCGTCACTGGCGATGGTCACTCTGTTACACTCTGTTCTGTGTGGGTGCTTAACTTGCTGATGTCGGCTTGGGCCCGCCACGACGAGAAGGCTCAGCCGCAGTCGCTGCCGCGTGCCTTTGCAGATGACTCAGGGCATTGACCCAACAAGTGCGCCAGCCAGAGCCGTGCTAGCAACAAGCCGCTCCTTGGCAGCAGGAGACGCCGGAAGCGCCAATGGCCTGCACGTACTTGCGCACGCCCAATGCCCTATCATTCAGAGTGCCTGCGCAGCCACGACACAAGCCAGACAGGTGAGCGCCAAGGTCTCTCACATGAAGATCGCGACAGGGCGCAGCACGGCCCGAAGACCGGCAGTGTTGGCAAGCGCCGCAGACTTATGAGCATGAACAGCCGAGCCTATGCAGTCCGCGAAAGCATCAAAGCGAGTCCATGTTGCTCGCGCAAAGGCAAGAACACTCTGCTCCGCTGCCGCGCCCAGCTCCCCCGCGACAGGGGGCCCCCAGGTTAGTCTCAGGCCCCAGGTTAGACGTCACGGAAACACTCAGAGGCTGCGTCAAGAAGTGCCTCTTTGGTGATGTTGGCCGGCACGTGGCCAGCCCAGAAATCGTTTTCACTTTGGCGCGCCGGGGCTTTCGCGTGGATCCTTACCAATTGCCGAAGCGGCCCATCGCTTGCATGGCATTAGTAGGCGAACGCTTGCCATGTTGCCAACGTTGCACAAGTTTGGGTGGGGTGCGCTGGAACCGCTGCGTTGGCGTACTCGTGTCGAGTCAGGTGTTGCTGCGCAGGATGTACCTGAGGTGCTTGTGTTGGACACGCCGCTGCGGGTGTGGGGAAGGCGCTCGTCGTCAAGCGTGACCTTGCTGGTCTGCGCGCGGTAGACCGGGGTGCCACCTGTGCGCTGGTCTCCACACAATTTGGACAGGTGCGGTGCCTACGCAGGACCTGCTTTTTCGTCAAAAGTCAGTCGCAGAGCCGCACACTGCCCACTGCCTTGAAAGGGGTTGCGGAGTCCATTGAGCATCGGCACTGGCGCTGTCCTGCTTGGGCAGCCATTCGTCACAACGACTGCGCACTGGCAGGAAACCGTGCTGCTGACCGATCAACGGGTTCTTGCAGGAGGCGCAGCGGAGGCTTCGGCTTACTTGGAGATTGCAGAAGATGTACTTGGCCATAGCGGAGGCTGCCGGCTTTGAGCACCTGCTCAGGCGGCCCCGGCGGCTGTGAGACCGGTGGCCGAGGAGCCTAGACCTGAACCTGTTGGCTATCAACCGAAGTCTTTGTTTTGCCGTACTGTGTGGAGATCTCATGTGTTACCAATGCTCAAACTTCCGTTATGGCAGATCTGCTCTTGTTGTGCTAGAGTGGCCACAAGCGCCGGGACGCGGGCAACTGGCGGTGACATTCTTGGAGCTCATGCCGGATGCCATAGGCAGTGTCAGACTATGAATGCCTTGGACAGCGGACGCGAAGTCTGCGTGGCCGAAATGGCCCCACTTGTCAGCTCGGCAGGCTAGGCATAGTCCTTCGGCTGCTGCAGGTGCGCATCTTGGCGCTCCAACCCTGCGGCAGCAGCTTCGCATCTTTACTTTACTGACGCCGCACGTGTCTTAGGTCAGCTGCGCGGGCAGACTCTGTGGAGCGGGAGAGGGAGGGGAGGCCTGGCTACTTGAACTTAGGCTGGTTAGCCCGCTTGTCCGCTCGCCCGAAACTGCGGTGTCCAGACTTGGTTTTTCGCTGGCTGCAGCAACTTGAGCGCCAAAGCAAGGGCAGCAATGTCCAGTCGGCCCTCGACTGCAAGATGCACCTGATGCTCCCGGCGACTGCTGTTCGGGATCTGGCAAGCATTCCTGCGAGGCGACCTGTGCAAAGGCGCGCTGCACTCCGAGTCTGTGGAGGCCAGGCAGGAGGCAGAGAGAAACCGTGCCAGTCACCAGTCCCTCCCACAGTGCCCTCAGCTGAGATGCAGGTCGAGATGCTCGTTGGACACCGTTCTTAAACGCCCTGGCTGTTTCAGCTGTCGGTCGGCAAGCACTGCAGGCTGCGGCAGTTGAGTAACACCTGCGAACTGCTGCTTGGCCGTATTAACAGGACATGTGCTGCAGGGCTGCGGCATTCTGTAAAGCCGGCGAACTGCAAGCGCAGTCCTTAACGGTGTTTGAAGTGCCCACCGGTGGCCACCCCATTCCTGTTCTTTTTCATTTTCCTTTTTCCACATTTGTCGTTTCAGCATCATACTTTTCTTTCGCAGCCGGAGGCCTTTTTCAAGCCCCAATGGCGGCCTGCAGCTGCACATTTTTACTTTTCTATTATGCTTTACGGCTGCACAGTGTTGCCAACCGCCAGCCCTCCTGCAGAGCCTGCTGTCTTTTGTTTTGCTTCTTTTTTTTCCTGTTTGTCCGGTGTGGCTAACCGGCGCCTTTTTTGTGCAAAGTGCCAAAATGCCCAAGCGGCTTCTTAAATGTGGGGAACCCTGTTACGAAGGGATGCACCATAAAAAGCAGGGGCTGAGGGCCCGTCATTGGCACCGCAGCCAACGAAGACGTGAAAACGTACTTGCAGATCAAGGGGGAGGGCACACCTGGGTCGTCGTGACAGCTGGTGGCCCTCATGAGGAGTTCCTGGGTCCGTCGTGGCAGCTGGAATCCTCACCTTTTGCAAGTGCAAGTGTGGTCTGTGGGTGCGTGTGCATGTGCCTGTGCGTGTGTGCGCGTTTGCGCGTGTCTACGTGTGTGTGTGTGTGGGTGTGTGTGTGTGTGTGTGTGTTGGTTGGTTGGTGTGTGTGTGTGTATATATATGTGTGTGTGTGTGTGTGTGTGTGTGTGTGTGTGTGTATGTGTGTGTGTGTGTGTGTCTGTCTGTGTCTGTCTGTGTGTGTGTGCGCGTGCATTCGCGTGCATGCGCGCATATGCATGGGCATGTGCGTGGGCGCGTGCGTGCGTGCGTGGGTGGGTGTGTGTGGGTGGGTGTGTGTGTGTGTGTGTGTGTCTGTCTGTGTGTGTCTGTGTTTGCACGCATGGGGGTGCGGGTGCACCGCATGCGTGTCCGTCCACGAGAGGTTGGTGTCAAATCGAACAGATCAGTTCGCAGCACTTCGGGAGGTACAAGTCTGGAGACGTGAATCAACAGGCGATTGCAGAAGTAGACCGTGCATTTGCAATTGCCTACCGACAACGCCCTTCGACGAGTTTGTTTTTCCGGTGATCTTCTCGGCGGTTCCTTAAGCTCCCGAACGCCGAAGTGCACATATGATTTGAGTTTGACAGCAACATCGCGGCAAGACTGAAAAGGGGACGGTGGTCAGGTACAACGCATTAGAGCAGCATAAAACTGTTCAAAAGCTTGGCCGCCGGAAGAAAGCGACGTGTTGCTCTGACAGGACAGCTTGGTATCCAATGTGGTGAACATCTGGATTATCGAAAAGGACCGGCACAAGCGCTCTTGAAGACAGTCCAGTCCCAGTGGTGTCAGGAAGAGCTGAAGGCCGATCGCTCGGCCGCCTCGCAGCTGGTGCCATACATCCAAGACGAAAGGCAGAATCGGTGTCAGTTCTTTCTGGCCCTTGCCCGAGATGAATCGTTTCGAAGGTGCAAAATGGACGCACTTATTCTGATTGGCAACTTGACCCATGCATTCCAGATCGCGCAAAGGCGGGGGGGCTTTGCTTTGTTCGACCACGCAGTTGCTCCATGAAAGTTTTGTTACACGATGAATCCGATTCCCTCTGGTACGGCAAGACGCTGCAGCAAAGTGCTTTCCAGGTACTAACAGGTCTTCAAGTTTTGTTGCATGTCAGAAACAGCTAGGATCTACAAGGGCTTGAGCCTCACAGCGGTGTTTAAAGATAATGTGGAGTCTCGCCGCGAAGTCATCTCGCTCGCTCGTTTTTGTCGACGACCTGAAAGGCTTGGCAGCATGCAAGACGTCCTGCACATTAACTCGCGAGCCCAGGCATCCGGAGACCAGGACTTGGCAATAATGGCGAAAGTCATCCATGACTTGTAGATTTTTCCTGGCTGGCTCCAGGAGCTTTTAAAGCAGATTGCAACCTTCATGGCTTACAATCCGATTGCCAAGAAGAGGTGTTTGGACATACAGTACCACCAGTTTCTACAAACCTCCCTGACGGCAGGCCGTGACAACTGTCCGCTCGTGCTGGTCACTTGTTCTCAGCAGCTAGCAGCCGCAGACCATCGTCAGGGTCGCAGCCTTGCCGGTGCTGTCTCCAGCATTGTGCAGAACAGCAAGGTCACTTTCTCCGTCGCCATCTTGGCAGGTCACGGACAACGGCTACGCGGCGAGCATTTCTGCCGAGCGACCCGTGCTTGCTCGTTCGGGGCAGCACAAGCTGACGGCGAAAGCGCCGGTGCCACTGCCGACGTAGGAGACGAAATGAGGTGTCGCTGAAGTGCTACGTGGTAGGATGCATCGTGATGCACCAGAGCTGCCAAAGCCGCGAGTCTGGTGTAGATGCGAAGGAGACTAAGGAAACCATTGGCGGATCGAGGAACGCTGTTTGACTCGACGATGGAGCGAGGGCACATCAGCCGTGATGAGCACACCAAAACGTGGTGCTGGTTCTGTTATGTCCTCGTGTTTCCAGCAGTCGCTGCTGCGTCGGCCTAGTCTCGTGTACAACAGAAGCGCAGGTGGCTCTGTGGGCTTGGGACATTGTGGTGGACAACTGTGCTATTTGCCGCAGCTCTTCTGCACATGAGCCCACAACATCACACACAGCACAGGTCCAGTAGTGGCTCCATGGAGTAGATGTTGATGATAACAGCGTGCAATGACGTCTGGGTCAATCTGAGGAAATCACATCATGGACCTTTGCATCGAGTGCCAGGCTGGGAACAGAGATGCGTTGAGAAGCAGAGATGCGGGGTTGACCAGCTACCACCGTGGAATGCAGTTCAGTGTCAGGCGAATCAAGGCTCGCATACGTCTGAGGACAGAAGCTTGGTGATGGCGGTGTGCCTTTGGATCAGTAGTTTGCCCAACCCTCTTCTGGCATTCTGCAGGAATGCACTGTTGCCTGGGGCGTGTGCAATCACGCGCATCTCGGCAAAAGCCATAATTTCCCTCAAGTGGTGGACTTTCCAACCTCAAGCCGATGCAGAAGTATGCACAGGTTTCACTTTCACTGCATCTCTCGATGGCTGAAAACGCGTCAGGCCTGTTGCATGCCTTCGAGTGCTGAGAGTTGCGTCGGGTGGCCAGTCGCATCATGGGAACCTTGCCTTGACAAGAGCATTCATACTGTCATTGTAAAGCTTACATCAGGAGGAAAACCCACACACATCGGCTTAACCCGCCTTGGGCTGTCCTGACCCGCAAATCGTGAACTCCAAGCTGACTGCCGATGGCACCTCGATGGCACGCGTCCTCCTTCTTCTATATAAGTGGCTACTACTTTGTTTCATTTCCATGAAGAAGACAGTGGAACTCACGCCTGAAATGTCTGAGTAAAGGTTCGGCTGCCACACATAAGCATATCAAATACATGTCAAGAATCTTGAAATTGAACGCAGTTGTTGTGTTCACATAGATCTGCGTTTGCGGCCTCAGCCAACCAGGAACTGTAAGGAGTGTGAGAGAGAGCACCAATAGGACAGTATCTCTCGACTGCAGAGTCTTAGAGTCTTAGATGGCTGACACAACGAGGAAGGAAACACACTCATTTGCCCCTCACCAATTCATCATTTCACCGTTCAGTTAGTCCTCCTCGTGTCATAGGGCCAAACTATTTGGTGAAATCGAGAATTGAACTGCTCCAGGACTGCAATGCAGCGAAGCAAGGATCAAGAGAATAGAAGTTCTTAGGTATCCGGCATGGATTTGGTTCCTTTGAGGAATGACGAAGTGTTTCGTGGAAACATCATGCGCATATTCCCGGGACCACGCATATTCCCGCGACTAAGCGGAAAGGCCATGCGGCAGTATGTTTCATAGCGCTTCGACCGATCCAGCGCATTGTTGGCGAATAGGCGTTTACATGGCACTCATCCCAGAATCGTTGTGCAGAACATGACGTGGCTACTATCGGAAATGCAGTAGGTGTTCTCAGGAGCATAAGCGCCAGGACAATGGAGCATGAAGGTACACAGAAAGTCGAGAAGACCTCTTGGTAAGGAAAGATCGTGTGTGGCGTTATACACCGTGGTTAGGTTTCCTGACGACGTGTTGTGCCGTTATTTCCAACATCATCTCAGTAGAGTAGACGGTGCTTACGCTTTCAAGCTCGCTTGTCACTTGGCTAAGGCGTCCTTGCACCTGTCGGTGGGTGAGCATGGGTGAACTCGGACTCAAGCGTTAGAACAGTCCCAACATTCTAGCAAATGAAGTCGCAAGGGCGCAGGGATGCACAGGGTAGTTGCGACTACGTGTGTGTATATGTATATGTACATAAAAGATGAATGGGAACCGTGCGCCTTGTATGCTTCGGTCCCGAGTTAAGAGTTTATAGGCTTAGCCTGGGTTTATAAACTCTGCATGGGTTCCAAACCAGTTGCTGGTTCCACAATCAATACTACAGCAATGTACAGCAGTGCAGACATGCAAGGAGGGTGATATCACGCAGCCCATATTTATATCGTTATATTGATGCCTCTATGTATATTCATGCTTGTATATGTATACATGTGTATATATATATATATATATGTTTGTGCGTATGTAGGTAGGTATGCATGTATGTATCTATGTATGCTATCATGCTTGCATGCATGTATGATTATGTACATATGCATGCATGCATCGAACGTGTCTATTCGTGTGTCTGCATGCAGTAAGTGTTCGTGCGTGTGTATGTGACTGTGTGTATATGTACACATGCATGTATGTACGTCCGTATGTATCCAGTATGTTTCTGTTGGAGGTTTGCCCGCTGGACAACGGAGAGTGGGAGTTCCAGAAGTACGGCAGGCTGCTGTCGAGTAGATGTCTGCCCGCATCTTCACAGCATCGTCACCTGACAGGTGATCAGCTTGTGACTTGATGGGCCAAATTCGGATGCTGGCTGTCTTTTGCAGTTGACAGCGAAACACCACAAAGATCGTGACTGCAGCTTGCTTGTTGCAGCTGGCCTGCCGGCAAGAGAAACGTGCCACAACAAGAATGTATTTTCGTTGCATGGCCGTCCCCGGTTACGTGGTACTTACAGAATGATCAACATCCAACAGGCCTTCAAAGTAGATAGGGAAGAAATCGTGACGCCAGTCGCAAGCGCTGGAAGTCCACCGGAGCGTGCAACACCTGGAACGAAAACTATGCGAGAGGCGAGAGGATCAAGGTACGATGCTGTAGCCTGAACTAGTGCTCACACGGTTTGCTTTTCTCTCCGCAGCTTTTGGGCCAAATGAGAAATCGAAGCCTCGTGAGATCAGGGCTGCGCCTCCGCACAGCTCCTAGCTTTGCTCTTGAAGTCGGGAGCCAAAGCAAGTGCAAGCTTCCTCGTGCCTGAGGAGGCAACCCCATCAGCCCGTACTCGATACCATAATTAACAGAACATGATCCGACAGCGCGATGCTACGGCCCTTCGTCGCCCGTGCCGCATCCTGTGGGCCCTGCCTTGGCTGCCGACTCCGCTGCCCTCCGATTCTTCGAGGCCGCAGGGCCTTTGGGGAGCTGGTGGGCATGGGAGAGCGATCCGACATGTGAATCTCGAGGCCGGGCCTTCAGCGAAAGCAGGGAGGAGGTGAGGGAGCTGGATCCCCATGGGCCCAAGGGTACTCCCAAGGGCCTCACAGAATCGACACCGAGTACCAGGACTGGCGCAAGAGATGTCATTACATAGACAGGTCTTGCCTTCCTTGCCTTTCTCAGTAGCGCCATTACATCCTTCACTGGGGGCTTGCCAGCGAGCCGCGACTTTGATTTGCGGCAATCCTTCAGAAAGTTTCCTTTGCACCGAGACGTACAGCTGCTTGGCATCATGCATTCTGTGCAAAGCCCGTAACAGATGCAACGTGCAACTCGACGGATGCCGCAGTTGGCAAGGCTTGGATTGATGAAGATGGGCGTGTCTGCAGACTCCTGAGAAGTTTGAATTCTTCATCTGTTGAGGTCTTGCGGTTGTCTCGGCTTGCCTAGGTTCCAACGCGTGTGCAGGATCTGACGATGCCAATGCTGATGGACACCCGGCTGGAAAAGCACAGGCATGGTTTCCTTTAGTCTGTGTCCCATTAATTCCTGAACCAAAGACTGGTGCGTCCTCGCAAAGGAAGGTGGTGTGTCGACATTCATTCTGGCACAGACCGGCACGGGAAAAACTCTGGCCTACGTGTTGCCACTTGTGCATAAGCTGCTCTCCACGAACACGGAAGGCTCCTCGATGCCCGCACCCACGAAGCACGCCTGAGCACGACTCGACACAATGAGCTTGCAGGTTTCTTCCCAAAGAGCCGAAAGCCGAGAGCCATCATCGTGCAGCCAACTCGTGAACTGGCTCTGCAGACCATCAAGGTGGTCCGCAACTTCCCAGTGAGGTGCGATCCCTCTAAGCCCGTGAAGCACTGCAGATTCTCCTGCTCGTGAAACTCGAACAGGTCGGTGGTGTGTGCTCCCAGCTGCTCCTTCGTCAAGGAATTGAGTGTAGCCGCGAGCCCTGCTCGTGCTTTGCGACACTTATGTCTTTGTGTCCGACAGATGCAAGGAGACCCAGGCGCTTTTTGCGGGAGTTGATGTGGTGGTGACTACGCCATTTCGCTTAATTCTTCACCTCGGGAAAGCTGACATGGTCTTGAACGAGGCATGAGAAGGGAAATGCGCAACCATCAAGTCCAGCTTTGCAGTCAAACCTGACAGGTCAGGCATGTGGTGTTCGATGAGGCAGACACGCTGTGCGACACCTTCTATGAGAAGGAAGTAGCATCCCAATGTGGTTTGGTCTGTCAGAGTTGCATCAGATTGAACCTAGCTCGCATCTGGCGAGGACACAAGCAAGCTTTTGAAAGGACTAGAGGAGGACTGTCCGACAAAGCCGCAGGCGACAAGAAGCAACAGTGCTTTCGCTGGATGCAACAGAGGTCGTGAGCAGGGCGAGATCTGTTATCTGATGGGAGTATGGACGAACCCCGGCAATTTGGAAGCTTGCCAACGCTCAGGTGATCATTGTCGGTGCAACTCGCACTGGAGCCGTGTCCGCTTTCCTGCGCAAGCACATGAACAATACCCAGGCAGCTTGTCGATCTTCTTGGCCTGTCTCTGCATCGGGTGATCTAAGCGCCATGTGACCGTACCGCTCGGAAGGTCATGCCTGTGGTTACCACAGATGCCCACGTGCCACCACCACACCTGGAGCAGGCTCATGAAGCCTGTCATGCACGAACGAGCATCAACGCATTGTGAAGGTGTTCGTCCCCACCCGCGGCAAGCGCTTGCTGTCAGTATTGTGGGACGTTCTTGGAGAGGCACGCTTCCTCATCGGAGCATAGCTGTCGTCAGCGAAACATCCCAGATTCGAGGTGCTTGTAACGGAGTGTACACATAGGACCCAAGGTTCCAACTGTCGGAAAGAAGACGCTGATCTTCACCAATCGTGCACCAACGTGCAAGGCAATGTGTTGGTGAATCAGTTCGTTTTCCAGGTTTGTGTCGCGTGAGTGCATCGGATGAAGGCGGTACACAAAAGCCTGCTGGAACACGGCATGAATGCCGTCTGTTTGCACGGCAACGTTCACCCGGACAAGCGCAAACAGGTCAGGCGGCCGGAATCCTCAAGTTCAGCCTGGTATGGCAAAATTCTGACCCTTGCTTACCCGGTGCCAGGCTTGGGATTCCTTTGCTGGCGCTGGCAAAGCTGATGTCATGGTGTGCACCAACCTGGCCTCAAGAGGGCTGGATTTTAGCAACGTGCACCATGTGCCCCGGCTTTCTCGGGTTGGCTGGACCGAGGTCCCTGCATTGCTTTGCATTGCCGAATAGCTCAAGAATGATCTCTGGGCACGAGGTGGTGATGTATGACTTCCCGCTGAACATGGCAGACTACCTGCATCGGGTCGGGCGCACGGCCCGCGGAGGCCGTGCAGGAAGGGTGACCACCATCACCCCCCGACGCTACTGGCCGTTCGTGTCCAAAATACAGGAGGCGGGAGTTTTGCCTGTAGAGAAATCGGTCAGTCAGAGTACGGTGTCATGCTGTTGCACAACCTGGATCCTCAAAGCCACACGATTTAGGTATAACTAAGTTCAACATGATGTCTGAGTGTACCCAGCAGGCGACAAAGCAAGGCAAGCCTATTGAGGTCCGGAACATGTCAAAGAAGGTGCCTTCTTGTCACTGCTGCCAGTGCCTCTGTTTGGTGAATGAGCTCACAGTTGCCCAGGTGAAAAAGATACTTGCAATCGAGAGCCTCAGCATCAATTGAAGCATCACCGGACCCTGATGCCTGTCGATCCCTGTCGTGAAAAAGCATCGGAACCAGCCCAGGAACTATCAGAAAGTTCTGCAGTCGCGGGACGTCAAAAAAAGCGTCAAGCAAAAGCTAAAGCAGCGGCTGGGCCTCCCACCTGCCAGAAACGTCGGCTCCAAGGACTGCGTACTGCTGGCCTTTGCAGGCTGTGGACGGCTCCGAATTATTGCAAACTTTGTCAGGAGACCAAAGCTGCAATGAAGAGGCTTGACCGACGAATGAAAGCAATTAAGCACGTTCGTACCTTCGAGGCAATGGAAGATGCATCAGCCAACTGCTTCAAGTCAAGAGAAAGAACGTCCGAGGATACCTGTGGAAGCGTGGCATTCTAAAACGGGGCCACAAGATTCCGCAGATGCCTGACAAGCAGGTCGAGGCGGGAACCACCATGTCTTATCGTGTTCCAGGGCTGCGCAAGTGGCAAGCTGGCACTGTGTCAGGCTTCTGAGACGCAGACTGTGTCGACGCTTGTTCGAGCACGTGATGGCCTGCTCCAGGTGGGATGCAGAGGTCAGGCGAGCATGAGAGTCTCGAACAGCTGAAAGGTTGTACCGAACCGACGCCGTCAAAACAGAGGCGCAGATCGACCGGAGAACGTCTGGCACGCAGACAGACGTCGTAACTGGCATGACGGATGCATCCATGAATTCATAACGTAAGCGTGAATGGATTCCGATGGTGAGTACTCCACATAGTACGCCACCAGGAGAGCTTAGCACCATGCATTGATCATTGCACAGATTCGCAAGGTCTGGGTCTTCTTTTTTGCATGTGTTTCGGTGCAGGACACAGCAGCTAAAATGCAGTGCTACACCGATTTTCCGTCATGTCGTTGCGCATCCGGTCACAAGCTTTGTGCTCTGTATACATTCCATGGCCGAGGCTCCTCTGCAGCCTGTGCGCTTAAACTCCAATGAAGCACCAGCTGCTTCGAACCGGCGCCGGCGGACTGTGATGTAAAGAAGTCCGCAGACTGGTTGCACGGCTGCAGCACGCCTTGGGTGGTCGGGCAATCGTTGGGATGGTTTGGAACAATTGTTATTTCAGTGAAAAGTAAGTGATTTTAAGGTGATTTGAAAAAGTAATGGGATTCTTCGTGCGCCAGGGAAAAGTGATTTGAAAAGTGAGGTGGGGCATTCGCAAAAGTGACACGGCTACTCCAAAAAAAAATCTGGAAGTGATCCCAGCTACTCGCAGAAGTAATTTGAAAAATGATTTAAATAAAATGATTTGGAAGTGACTCGAAAAACGATTGCAACTTGATTTCCTTGCACTGCGGAAAAGTACTTTGAAAAGTGATTTAAGACTTGAAAAAGTCTTTTCAATGTGATTGTGGGGTTGCGCCTTGGATCTCCTGGGATTTGCATACATTACAAGGATTCATTAAGGCTTGCATCAGTGACCCTGTTGACTATAGTGAGTCTGGTGAATCCTTGAGATGGGGCAAACTTAGTGATCACCACCCCAAGCGCTGTTGAAATCGCTTTCGACACACCAGATCACTTTGGAACCACTCTTGTAAGCTTAGAATCGCTTTGAAATCACTTTTTGGGGGGTCTAAGATCAGTTGGAAATCCCTTTCTCGGGACCCAGGTCGCTTTCAAAAAAATTTTCGGGGGCCCAAATCACCCAAAATCAGTTTTCCGGTCTTATCTGCGATCTAGGACCCGAAAAGTGATTTCAGTTCAAAGTGAGTCCGGGCTTGAAGTATAGCGGTTTCCAACTCAAAAAGTGACTTCACAGTGATTTGGGAGCTCCGAAAGTGATTTCGAGGTGGTTGAAGGATTGCAAGAGTGATTTCAAAGTGATTACGGAGTTGCGCCTTGGATCTCCGAGGATTTGCATCCTTTCAAGGCTTCGTGAAGGCTTGCCTCAGTGACTTTATGGACGATAGTGACACTGGTGAACCCTTAAGAAGGGGAAAAACCTTTGGACAGTTAGTGTGCACCACCCCAATCACTGTTGAAATCAATCTTGACACCCCTATCACTTTGAAAACACTTTTGCAAGCCTCCAACCGCTTTGCAATGACTTGTATTTCACTGTGTCGATGTGTTTCCGATCACTTTGATTTCACTTTTGGCCCGGCCAACTTTCACTTTTTGTGTTTCCCAAATCACTGTCAAATCACCTGTTTCACACTTTGTAGGACACTTGAAATCAGCTTTCCGGAACCCAGGTTTCTGCGATCACTTTTGCAAGTCAGGTTGTAGTCACTTATTCTCAAAAGGTATGTAATTAACATTTTCCAATGGTTGAGCCGTCCGACGTCCCAAAGCACGCCTGTCGAGTTCCAGCGCAGCGGACATGCATCTCCTGGCAGCCGATAATTTGCCTCAAGACGATGAGCGAGACTAAAAGCAGTGCAACACGATGCTTTTTCCATACCTCTAGTTGTCCCTCTCACGCATTCTGCAAATCTGCATTTGTCGGTACAGCTAGCATCAACAGAGCACAAGCAGTTGGGTTCCACGTGGAGAGATATTTCTCGAAGCATGACTGCTTTTGCCTCTGTGTCGGCTGTGCAACTGGATTCAACACGGCCAAGTGCCAGTAAAGGCTCCCCTTTCGTCGCAGGCACTGCTGCGCGCGCCCATCCCATCCCATCGAAGGGTTTCTTGCGATCAGCACCGAGCACATTGGGACTCGCCATTGGAGCAGCACTATGCAGGCACTGCCGTTCACGCACATCGCTGAAAGTTGCTAGACGAGATCTTCTCGGCGCTGGAATCGCATGGGTAGGCGGCGCCGAGCGTGCATTGGCTCGCTCAACTACAGCTCCAGAGATCGTGAAACGTCTTTGGGCCGGGGGTCTGAGCAGTGGAGAGGACTTGGATGCTTGGGTGGCCGCATTCGCCGCAGATTGTGTCTATGAAGACTTGTATTATGCACAGCCCGCAACTGGTCGGCAGGAGCTGAGAAGCCTGTCTGCATCAAGAGCTCTGAGCAAGTGCAAGTCCAAAACCGTGGCAGTCTTCAGTGCTTTTCTCTCCGCCACCTCAAAACATCGTAAAACTAGCTCCGTGCCGCAATAATGAAGCTGGGCACGGCCGCGGGTCAGTAGAACTTAGTCACTTGTGCTCTCCTGCCTTCTCAGGAAGATTGCTGCAAGAGAAGTTGCTGCCGAAGGGAGCTCGCATGATCCTGGACCACGTGTCCGATGGAAGATCCTCATGTGGCTTCACATGGCATATCCAGCAAGAGGGGGTCGGAACAGGCCAGCGAGGCCTCTGCTTTCTCCGCTTAAACTCAAGCGGCGAGGTTGCTTATGTGCGTGAGCTTGGCGAGCCGCTTTTCAAAGCCGGCGTGCTGACAGAGCAGTTGCTGCAGGCGCTCACAAAAGACCAGCCCAAAAAACTTCGAGCAGCGAGCTCCACCACGCAGACGCCGACCACAGCTCCAGGCATCGTGAAGTACTTGTACGGCGATGTTCAAGACAGCGGCGGCGATGCTGTCCGATTCTACGCGGATGATGTCGTCTACGAGGACATGAACTACGACACGCCGTTTGTTGGGAAGACTGCTGTTGAGGGCTTTTTGAACCGATTCCAAGACATCGAAGGCGTCACCTTTGTACTTGAAGAAGTGTCAGATGGAGAGAAGGCCATGTCTTGCAACAAAAACACGCTCAGGAAGGAACTCTCCTCCAAGATGTGGCAATTGATGAACTGGTCTGCTGCCGTTTGACCTGCAGCTCTGCCCCAGGCTGTGGGCTTCACTTATCACATTGATGTGGCAGGGCAGTCCCAATCTCAGTTGACGAAACTGTTCGCGCACAGTCGATCATTCACCTTCAACCTGCAGGTCGCGTGGCATCCGTGGTGTAACCTTCTATGAAATCGATGACCAGGGCAAGGCCTATGCCTAGAGACGGTTGAAGCATTGCAAACTCATGACAACTCCGCATTTGCAGGTGAAGTATGTGCGGGATGTTCCGGAATCGGCCACCAAGCCACCTCCAGTGCAGCAGGCGCCGAAGTCCATCTTTTGGGATTGCTTGGGTTGCTGAAGTGCTAACTCCACGAGCTATTATTGCATATGCTAGACATTGCAAGACGAGTGCCATGGCACATGGAAGCCGTTTGATGGCCCACTGGACAAGCACCGACTCTGCCGCAAAATCACACGGCCAGATTGCCATCTTCCACCAAGCCTTGCGAGTAGGCGTGTTGAATAATCCGACGTGGTAGAAGCCTCCAAATCCAGTTACTGGTCATCCGCAGCAGCGCGGCGAACCAGTAATGGTGCAACATTGCGCAACATGGCATAGATGTACTACAGGACCCCTTTCTCACAGACTTGTAGTGCGATGGTGTAACCTCATCATGACGACAGAGAGCGGGATCTCGCGCAGAAACTCGGATGAAGGCGAGCGGAATGCAAAGCCAAGTGTTGAAAGCAGGGAGATTCTCGACCAAGGAGATCTTTTGGTGCAGCAGCTCCTGGAAGAGCGCAGGCAACGACTGCAGCAGAAGCTCTTCGGAGCTCCTGGAGGCGCCTGGATGCCCAAAAAGACCGATTCGCGGGGTCGCGGGCTGAGACGCTGCCAAAAGGTGGCCTCGTAACATCCACGGTCAAGGAATCCAGGCCGGAGCCTGCAGAGTTTGTCTTGGAAGCGAGGCGGGGCGTTGTAGGATGTGTTCTCGTGTGTTCTCCCTCCTGGCTCGCGCTCTCTCTCTCGCGCCCACTCCCGTTGCAGTCCAAAGCGTCCTCTCGGCGATGCTGCTGCATCACGCATCGGAGATGTTGCAGACACGGACATGAGAGCCACCCGCCAAGCCTTTCAGAAGCCATCGGAATTTGGTATCTCTGTATGCCGTAAGTATACCGGGCTTGGGAACTCGTGCTGGTTTGAACATGTTCTCTTCGAAGCGGTAGCTGGTACCGGTGTGCTCCAAGCTCAGGATAGTTTCCTTGCGGACGTCTTGTTGCGGCTGACAGCAGCGGAGGACGCGCAGCCGAGCTGGGGCTCAGAGCACTCCTGCAAGCAGCTTGCACGTTGTAGTCGCAGTTTGAGGTCAAGCATCCGGAAGTGCTGGGCTGGTGAGCAGGGCCGCAGCGAGCGAAGCTCCCGCCAAGCCAGTGTCCAGGCCCACAAGGCCCCGCCGGACCTTGCATTCCCCTTTGCGAAGATTGATGTTCCTTGAAGGCCGCGATCGGCGCCTGCCGCAAGGGCCGCTGGCCCCATTATTCATCGTTCAACATGTTTTAGCTGTTGCTAGAGTCGGTAGGTTGTGATCTCGGGTTCGATCATCGCGGATTCCAGGCAAAGAGCACCAAAGACCAGAAACTTGGCAAAGCACACAGTGTCGCAGGAGTGTCTTTCTGACTGCATTTTGATGGGCTTCCTCTCTAGAGGCGCGCAGCACTCAGGTGCTCAGATTCCACAACCTTGAAGTTTTCAGCATTTGGACCTGACAGACGCTTTTTGCAGCTTTCAGGTTCCCATAGCTCGGTTGACTCAGTGTTAGCTAAGGAGAGCCGACAGCATTGAAAGCCAAACAAGGCAGATGTCCAGGCGAAGACCGAGTGGAGAGCGATCGCAGTCGCCAGGCATGAGATTCTGACAACACTCAGTCGGCCGACACTGTTTTTCAATCCCGTGCTGAGTAGCATAATCATGTGCGAAGTAGCATGCTAAAGCGACAAATCATCGCAGCGCCTTCGGCCTCAACGTTGTTTAGCTTCCGTCCCCTAGCATCCTGTCCACGCAACAACTTCCCACAAGGGCAAGCGTCGGCGGTGCAGATGGCCATAGATGGTCATAGATGATACACAGAGTGCTTGCGCTGCTGAACCGGCGCGCTTGGGGAAGTCGCTCCGGCGTGTTAGGTCGCCGAACGGCGTGATACAGCGCTACATCCAAACGACTGCAAAAGAGAGAGCGAGAGAGAGTGAGAGAGAGAGAGAAGCTGTTGAGTACCCTGCCTCTTGCTTCCTACCCCCGGGGACCCGCACTGACAACAAGCAAACATCCACAAACCGTACAGCAACAGAACGAAGACTTTTTGCAACCCGTTGTCCGGGACAAAGATAGTGAGAAGACATTGGTGCAGTGGGTGTGCTGACACTTTTACCTAGGGGCCCCCAGTTGTTTGCTGCCTACGAAAGAGGGACAACGGTGTGACGTGACGAGGAGGCCACAGAGCGCCCTGCATACCCCGCAATGACGGGGGCACCCACCTGACAGCAACCACCAACACTCGCACAGAGCCCTTCGAGGCCAACGAGGCGGGGACTACCTGAGATTGGCGAGGGTTGGGGGTTGGTGTCATGTCTCACTCCACCAACCGAACGCGGACACTGGCGTAGCGCTGGAGCGCAGGGGGTGGGGAACCTTTCCCCCCTCCAAACGCCCTGCAAGCAAGCAAGCAAGAGAAGTCACCTCCCGGCAAGGAGATGGGCACCCGCGTTGTCTCCGCCCCGAAGGGTTAAGACGCAAACGGGTCATGAGGCTCCGAAACCGTCATGGCCCCATGCAAGGCAGAGCAAGCAAGGCAGGGGCAGCTTCAGGAATGAATAAGGGAGAGGAAGAAGGCTGACCATCTTAGCAAACGACTGCAAAAAAGAACAGTCGGAGGCAGTACAGTTTTGGATCATCGTCGGATCCATCGCACAACAGATCGTCGGGTGTGCTCTTCAAGTAGATTGCTGTAAGCTTCGGTTCATACTAGTAGTAAGCTTCCAAGGCCATTCGATCGGCGCCTCCATTTGTGGGAAGTACAACACCAGGCAAGCCGTGAGACAGCAATCATGACTCCATGACTGCTCGCATCATGTGTCCATCGCCAGGCTGCAAAACAGAAGCACATGCAAGCAAGGCAAGAAAAGGAGATGCAAGAGCTGGATGAATGCACTTTTCAGTAGCTCGGCTCACCGAGCAATTGCAGCTTGAGTGGAGCACCGTTGCTAGCGTTACGGATGCACCTGTGCTGATCTTTCAAGGCCATCCATAAATGCGCGCTCCGAGCCTTTCAGATGAAGTTTATCACACTCCATCGTTTGTTTTGCTGTTGAGACCCCCACAGCCGCAATGCGTTTCGGTTGGAATTTAACCGGGATTTGGGATGTGAATAGGCTGGTGAGAGCACTGCATCTCGAATTCTGGGCGCACCATGCAGGCACTTTGTCTGGCATGCAGGCATGGATCGCGAAACCCCTGCCCTAAGGTACTATGCCAGACGGTCTCGTAGCTGCTTCGTTGAGTCCCTGCCGGAACGTTTGTACCACGAGGCAGACGGGGTTAGCTCATCCAGATTTGCTTTGTCATGCATCCGAGGCCTCAAAGCTGAGGTTACAGCCGAAAGCACTGAGACCAAACGAAGATTCGCGGCACATTCCCTGCCTCATGCCCTACGCCCTTCTTTCATGGCCCAAACGGTTGTTGACCCTGGCCATAAGACACTCACAAGGCATGAACTTTCAGCTTTCCTGCGTGCTCAGTGAATCAAAAATCGTTCATGCCAATGTGTCATCGTGTAGCTGAGCAGACAGTAAGGAGGTTCATGCCAAGACCAAAGCCTCCTCGCAGCTTGAACGCTCCAAAGACATGACATCCATGATCAAAAGTGTCTTCTATGCAGGCTGACAAGCGGGCGAGCCTGAGGAACAAAGCCAAGGAGAACGGAGACAACTTAGAAATTGTTGAGCATAAACTATGTCTGAAAGGAGCTCATGGAGGCAGACGCCTTGTGCTCCTACACATTCCAGCCCAACATTAACCCGAGCAGAGGCGCAAACAAACTCGCAGTCGCGATGACCATGGTTGCCACATGTTTACAGCATTCTGTTGGCCTCTGTGAAGCCCGAAGGAGCCAATAGAGCGCCACTGCACCTTCGAGCTGAGGAGCTTCGCCAAAGACGCGAGCAGAGAGCTCCTAGGATGGATTCTTCTGTGAGATCTTCAGCCTGCCTCCACTTCATCGGTGCTGCTTGACGAGGTGCGCAGTGCGCAAATAGCCGAGGAGAGACGCAGCGCGCTCGGTCTGAGGCTCCACCTCGCTGTGATTCCCCAGCCTGATCTTGAAACTGTGACTGTGGTCAGGGCATAGCAGAGATTAGGGCCGCAGTACGATGCGCGGAATATCACTCGTGCTCGAGACCGCTCGGTACAGTACGGGAGTCAATGGCCTGCTGTCGTGACTACCCGCAGTTCCACGCAAATGTAATCAGCAGTTAGTGCAGTTCGAGGGTGTTGGCGCATGCACTTGCACAGCTGCAGCGTCTTTCGGCCACAATTTGCATCCACAAGGGAGGAAACTTACAGAGACCACTGTGTCACTGAGGCTCTGGCAGCTTGTTCCAGCCAAAGATCTCCAACCGCAGCGAGCGGATCGTTCAGAAGAAGCGTGACATGCTGTACAGGAGCGAACTTGCACACACTTGGACGATGCTCCCTGCTGCAATCTCCTGCAGGTGCGCATCACAAGGCCAGGTCGATTGCCTGAGGCAGCTTGGCCCTGTTGAGGAACGGCTCTATGCAGAGGCACGGCCACAGAGAAAGAATGATCAAGTATGCAAGTGTGGTGCCCACACCCCGCATCCCTTGAGTTGATAAGACGATCCAGGCACACGAGAAAGAGCAGCGGCGTGCTGCACTGCAGGCTTACTACAGGGATTTTTGGGGGGGCCCTGCCTTCTGCTTTTCCCCAGTGTTGGGTCCCCAGGACTTTCACCAAGAGTTGGTACAATCCTTCCCCAGCGTTGACGACACATCGAGGTCCATGCTTCTTGTCGGTGAGTGCTTTTGCTTTTCCAACAGTCCTTCGGCGACACAAGTGATAACCGCGGTGCAGTGACCATCTCTGCCAGCCGTGCAGCTGCCCGAGCCGCCTCACGCATCCTCGCTGCCTGCGTTCAGCGTTCAGCCCTGTTCACCCAAAGCCATGGCCTCCGCCACGCAGCCCAAGAGAATTGCCGGCGGCGCCTACGGTCAATTCATGAACGAGAAGCGGGCCGAGTT